TAATTAAACTTCATAAAAAGCTTGGAAATTGAAGATCGAGTGGTGGATCAAGAGGAAGACGTAGCCAACTCTTTTGTTGGCATTTAAAGAAACCTTTTTAAAGAACCTTTCAAGAGAAGGCAAAAGCTGGATTAAGGTTTGATATTTGGCAGATCAACAGATAGCAGATTTGGAGAAGCCTTTTTCAGGAGTTCGGCTTTGGTCAGGGCAAAGCCCGTTCGAGCACTCTTTACAGCCTTGCATTGAGAATATCTTCGTATTTAGGTGCTTTATTTTATGGAGAGGCATTCCCAATACAAGGTTGCAAAAGGTGGTTGGAACGATGTGGGCACGGGCTTGCCCTGACGGAAGCCGATCTCCTTTTTCAGAAGAGGAGGTAAAGAAGGCCTTAGTTGATTTGGAAGGGGAAAAGGCTCTGGACCCGGATGGTTTCGCCTTATTATTCTTTAAGAAAATTTGGGAGCTTCTTAAGGCTGATATCTTAAAAGTTCTTGAGGAATTTCATAATTCTGCAGCCTTGGAAAGAATCTTGAATGCAACTTTCATTTCCTTGATTCCAAAGATGAAAGGGGCTTCCGAGCTGAAGGACTTTAGGCCAACAAGTCTGGTTGGGAGTATGTATAAAATCTTGGCCAAGATTTTAGCCACTTGGTTAAAGAAGGTGATAGATTCTTTGATATCAAAGTACCATGGAGCTTTTGTTCATAACAAGCATATTCATGATGTGGCTCTCATAGCAAATGAGCTAGTTGATTCAAGAAAGAGAGCTGGGAGGAATGGTTTGGTTTGTAAAATAGATTTAGAAAAGGCATATGATCATGTTAATTGGTCATTTCTGGATTATTTGATGGAAAGAATGCACTTAGGGTCAAAGTGGAGGAGCTGGATGAAAGTTTGCATATCCGCTCCAACATTCTCTGTACTTGTTAATGGTACTGCTAGAGGCAATTTCAGAGGTTCGAGAGGTTTGAGACAAGGGGACCCCTATCTCCTCTTCTATTTTTACTAGTAAGGGAAGGACTCGGCAGAATGGTGGACAAGGCTGTGGAGTTGAATCTGTTGGAAGGTTTTGAAGTCGGCCCAAATGGTACTTCTATTCCAATCTTGCAGTATGCTGATGACACTCTATTTTTCTGCAAGGCATTGGAGGATCAAATTCTGAATTTAAAGCGCCTCCTTTTTTGGCTTGAAATTGTTTCTGGGAAAAAGATGAACTTAGTAAAAAGCGAAATTATAGCAGTGGGAGAAGTGTCGAACATTCAGAATTTGGCTGAACTATTGGGCTGCAAAGTAGGACTTCTTCCCACAAGCTACATGGGGTTGCCTCTGGGTGAAGTGCACATCAAAATCCATTTGGAACCCAATTTTGGAGATGATGGATCAAAAACTGGCCACATGGAAGGCTATGTATCTTTCCAAAGGAGGGCAAGTAACTCTTATAAAGAGTGTCCTAGCCAGCTTGCCTACCTATTTTTTGTCTTTTTATCCAATCCCTTTGGAGGTGGTGAAGGCATTAAAAAAAAAAAAAAAAAAAAAAAAAAGACGAGATTTTCAGTGGAGGGTTTGGAAAGACTCACATAAGTACCATCTAGTGAAGTAGGAGCAAATATGCAAACCCTACTCACAAGGGGGCTTGGGGATATGAGATTTAAAATCCTTCAACTTAGCTCTGTTAGGCAGCTGGCACTGGAAGCTTTATGCAGAAACGGTATAACCTGTGGAGGAAGGTAATAGCTGAGAAATTTGGGCAGGACAGTAATGGTTGGGAGTGCGATCCCCCTCCTTCAACTTAAGGCTGCAGCCTTTGGAAAGGAATTTGCAGAGCTAGCACCAAGTTCAGGGTATCAGGTTCAAAATAGGAGATGGCAAAGGGATCAGATTTTGGATAGACCCTTGGAATAAAGAGAGATCCCTTAAAGAGTTGTTTACTACCTTGTTCAACCTGGCAGCTGACAAAGAGGTGCTGGTAGCCGATACTTTTGTAAAGAGGGGAGAGAACATATGCTGGAACAAGCGTTTTAAAAGCGCAAGGCGCAAGGCAAGGCATGCACCAATTTCCTCCTTCCTTGTACCTTCTAATTCACCTTCTGGTTTTGGCTGGAACCTGGGTTTGAGAAGAGCTATCAGGGACACAGAGTTAGATTGTCTTTCAGCCTTATTATCCGTTCTGGATGGGGTTTTCCTTGCTCCAACAAAGGCAGATAATAGAATCTGGACTCTCACTCCTTCGGGGCCCTACACTTGTGCCTCCTTCTTTAAGGCCCTATTACCCCCCTCTCCTATTGGTTTGTCCTTCCCGGTTAAAGAGGTGTGGTGTCAACCTATTCCTCCTAAGGTTGGGAGTTTTTGTTGGGAAGCCTTCTTGGAAAGAGTTAATACAGGGGRTTTACTTCAAAGAAAAAGACCCAATAGATGTTTATCTCCTAACTGGTGTGTCCTCTGTAAATCTGATGGTGAGTCTGGATACCACTTACTAATTTCTTGTCAGTTTGTTAAAGGTATTTGGGAATGGTTTACTTCTTTGTTTGGGTGCATGTGGACCCCTCCTTTGAATGTGCAAAGTTTATTCACATCTATGCCTCGCTGAACAACAAAAAGGGCCAAGATCATGTGGAGATGTGTTAGGGCTGCAGTATGTTGGACTGTTTGGGAGGAGAGATTCACGGATTTTGTCAGATAAGGAGAGAAGCTTGGAAGCAATCTTGGAGAGTATCCATGTTAGGGTGATACATTGGTTGAAAACTTTAGAACTGTTTACAGACTTCTCAGTTGATCAAATGATAAGAAATTAGAAGGAGATTGCAGATTCAGCTCCAGTGAAGAAGACCTCAAGTTCTTGTTGGACACCTCCACCTCAAGGGTTTACCAAACTGAATTTTGATGGCAGCAGCATGGGTAATCCAGGACCTTCCAGAATAGGGGGATTGATAAGAGATGAAAAAGGGAACTTGTTAGCTATGTATTCCGGTCCAATTGGGGCGGGCGATTCTCTAAAGGCTGATATTCTAGGAGCTCTTGAAGGGATCCAAAGGGCTAAGGACATGCATATTAAAAAATTGATCATAGAAGGCGATTCTGAAATTGTGGCGAATTGGCTAAAAGAGGATAGCTCTAAGCTCTGGATTTACAACAATGAAAAGAGGAAGTTTTTCAAGGGGTGAACAAAAACTCTCTCTTTTGGGCTGTGTTGTAAGTTTTTCATGGTTTGGGTGTACATTGGTATAGTAGGGAGTTAAGATTCTTTAGCTCCTTTTCTATGTAACTTCCTAAGTTCTCAATAATTAGTAAAATTTACTGTTATTGATAAAAAAAGCACACAATTTAAAAAAAAAAAAAAAGAAAAGCTAAAAAATCAAAAAAATGCAACAAAATAAAAAATATATAAAACATAAAATTAATAGAAATATAAACTTAAATTTTAAAATAAATGTTTTAAAAAACCTATTATATAAAATTAAAATACATAAACATAATTTGTAAAGCATATTCAAATGAAAAAACATATAAAACATTTTCAAGCATATAAAACCCACAATCTCTTTTTTTTCTCAATTGTAGCAAGTAGCTAATGTGATATATTACATTATTAATTCTACGAGCTGCCTTTGTGCCACGCCCCTCAAGGCAAGCCCAAACAAGTCCATGTTAGGGTCTTAAATTCTAAGTTTTCACACAAAAAATAATAATTTTATAGTTTTAATTTTCGCTTGCTCACTGAAGCTTCAAGAACCCCCTATTTAGTAATGTTGTCCATTCATTTGTCCTAATAAAATATCTTCTTAAAAGCAATTAAAACTATAAAATTATTATTTTTTGTATGAAAACTTAGAATTTAAGACCCTAACATGGACTTGTTTGGGCTGGTCTCGAGGGGTGTGGCACGGGGGTCCGGGGACGGAGCCCCCGGCCCAGCCGCCAGACTCAACAAAAAAAAGGAAAAAGCAGCAAATTTTCAAAAGGCGCACGCCTGGGCTAAGGCGCAAGGCGCACCAGGCATACGCCTTTTATGGGCTGCACCTAGGACCTGGGCGAGGCGCCTACCCTGAAATGCGCCTCGCCTGTGTGCCTAGGCGCGCCTTTTAAATCACTGGCTGGAACCCATCCTTCAGAAGGGATTTTAATGATTGGGAGATTCAACAGATATCTAGCTCTGCTTCAAGATCAGATTCTGAACTTGCAAAGCCAGGATTCAAGAGTGTGGAAATGGGAGAAATCAGGAGTATTCTCAGTTAAATCCTTCTACAGATATTTAGCATGTGGAAATGGTAAATGACTACATGTTTTCCTAGCCGGGTCATTTGGGGAACAGTAGCACCCATGGATGATAAAATGCTTGAAAGAAGACAAATTAAGATTATCTACCATGGGTGATGGTACCACAAGCCCTTCTCTGTCTTGCTTCATCTTTTTCTTTGTCATTTACAAATAAATAAATAAACCTCTTTCACCTTTGCTAGTTAGTGTCCACACCCCATTTCCCGCTAAAATCCTGCATAAATCCTAAAGTTTTATCCCATTATATGGTACAATCCTGTTGCTTGTAGTTCCAAGTGCTTAATTGTTTTTCATTCTAGATTTTTTTTTTCAGTAACAAATCAGGTGATACCATGATAGTACAGAGACTTCTAGTCATATGCACAGGATGCAAAGGACGAATATTTCAACTTTTTTTCCATAGGTCAGTGATAGAAATAGCAGAATTACATCGATAAAGAATGAGGATCCACAAATTGCATACACATAGTGTCCACTTCCCACATCATGCATTGGATGAAAGAAAGGTTAAGTTTGAGATCGGATTTGCAGAGTGGACTACAGATGTTCTGGGTGTGAGGGTGATCAAATGAGCTCTCACTTATCAGTGTTGTACTTGAATTCAGGAAGAATGAGAAAAATTGTCTTATATTTTGACTCATGGATCTGGTATATTTCCATGGAAAGGCAACAAAATCATACACTGAAACCATCAAATTGAAAAAAGAGAAATGGCAAGATGGTACCTGTGTTGTATTGTGATCCCAACCATAGAACAATCAACTAATGAAGGGAATATAGCGGAAGGAACAAATATATGAGGACAATAACGTATACACCTTGATGCCAACAAAAAGCAGTCATCTGCTATGTCTGGTCTAGCCGTAAAATCCTACAATGTGGATTATAACCCCAAGATTAATATCTATTGGCATAACTCAAATTACCAACTTTATATCAGTCCAGGAGATCATAAAGAAGCAATTACCAAGTGATCCCAAGGCCATACCTGAATTTTAGTCAGAAGATGTGTTGTATGACTGAAGAGAGATTCAATTAAACTTTTAAGGTAGTTCGCACAAGATGGATCAGACCCAAATATCTGTCACCCAAGACATCCACTAAATACTCAAAATGGAAGAATTAAAAGAATCGTAAGCTAGAAATGTTCAATTATTGACCCAAAAAGATGCACATGCTCAAGAAACAAAGAAGAAAACCAACCTTTATCACTTCACTTGAGAGGTAAAGGAAGCATGGTTGATGGTGTTGTTGATAAAGGCATTGTATCTCCTCAAGCATTGCTCCTATAGTGACACCCATGAACTTCCCAGAGGTTCTCACCTTGATAAGAATCAATAGCATGAAATAATTAAGATAACTAATTTTTAGGAAAGCTATCATGCATGTAAATTGTTGTCTCCTTGCATCATCTTTTGCTAACATAGCACGGAAAAGATTGAGGAAAATGTTACCCATAGAACCAGAGCAGGATGAGCAAAATGGGGTGTGAAGTGTGATAGGAGAATACCACTCAGGCTAGAAGGAAAATTTTATAAGCAGTTACAAGGCAAGCAATGTTGTATGGAGCCGAGTGTTGGGCGGTGAAGAAACATGTCCAAAAAATAGTATAGTGGAAATGCGAATTTTGAGATGGATGATTGGGAAAAATGGAAAGGAGAGGATAAAAATGATCATATTTAAAGGCACCTATGAATTGCTCCAATAGGTGATAAAACAAGGGAAAGTAGACTAAGATGGTACGGTCATGTACAGAGAGGACCATCCATAGCACCAATGAGAAGAAGTGATCTGTTACAAGTTGAAGGATCCAGAAGAATTAGAGGCAGACCAACAATGACATTGGTTGAAGTAGTGAGAAATGATTTAAGGACACATAATTTAACAATGTGCAGAACATAGGATTCATGTAGCCAACTCCATATACTTGGGACAAGGCTTAAATGAGTTGAGTATAGAAATGATAGGAATCCATCAATCTTGTCAATGCAGTAAGGTGGCTAGTCTTGGCCTCCCCAGGCAATGTGGCAAAGGTGCTAACTAGTACACCACCAAAAAAAAGTTCTAAATTTAAGATATTGGTAATATCATATATTTAAGTTAATAAACCATAAATCTGCAATTAAATATTGGTCTAAAACATATACTTTACAATCTCAGGACCTGTTTGATAACGGCTAAGGTGGGAATGACTTTTTTTTCTTTTAGTGAACAAGGGCCTGTTTGTTTGCTTTGACATCTGACATTTGAAAATGCAATAATTACATTAAGAGGTGTATTAGTATTGGTGAACTTTTCTTTCCTCTGAACTCAGAATGCAATAAATACAGTAAGAGGTGTGACAGAACATTTGCACAAGCTGTCACAGATGGCATTAAAACCAATTCCTTAAACACACATGGTCGTCTGGGAAAAGGTGATAAGGAGGTTGCAAGTTTGCTTGAATTAAAGTCACAAGACAAGTGGGAAGCTGAACCGTTGGGCCACTTAAAGTTATTTAGGGCCCAACCCAATCCAGGCAAGGTAATAGGGAGTGGGCCTTCTTAAATAGGTGGGCCCGGGCCAAATAATAGAAGAAAGGACAGAATAATTAGTGGGCCGAACTCTATGGGCTTATCTAAGGGGGGACAAAGGGTCCACCCAGCAGGTCCACATACTACTCTAACTTGCAATTCTGGGCCCAGTAGGCCCGAAAGGTTAAGTGGGCTATACTTAACTGACCCAAGATCCAGGAGGGCGCGTGATGACTTAAAGGTGCACATGACAAGGCATGAACCTAAGGCAGACAGTAAAATGGGTATACCATCGTCTTCATCGAGCTCTCTCTCTCTCACTTGAATAGTACAGCGCAGGTATCCAGTTCTTTACAGTGGAGACCCTCGAAGAAGATGGTACAATGTGACCTGGAGCGCCGTAACCCGAGGTGTGTGAAGAGCAGTGCGGATTCCGACTCAGATTCAGACAGATTGACAGATGTTGAAGAAATCTCTCAGATCAGAAGCTGGAGAAACCATCAACTTGGGAAGTATCGACCTTCAAAAACCAAAAGATATGATGGAAGAGGATAGCTTAAACACTGTTCTACTATTCCTAGAGGAAGAAACGGATCTGCAAGACCCTGGAAATGTCCAAATGCAAAGAAGATTGAGCCTTAACAGCGGCGAACAGAGATTTCCCAAACCGGGTATGCCAGACAAAAGTCAGATGGAGTTGGAAACAGTTAAAGAGGTGCGGCAGATAACATCCCTGCCAATAAACCAGTCTATTCCATGGGCGCAGCATAGTCAGGTTTTCAGGCCAGAGAGACAGGAATCAGACATGGAGCCTTACCTAAGGATTCACGCAGAGGGAAAGATTAGTGAAGTTTCTTTGACTGTAGAGGGCGAAAAAGTACTGGTTGAACCTAGTCCAATTCCACAGCTGAGTCAGGAAAAGGGGAAGGGCCAAGCCCTGACTCCAAGAATTGATACTCAACATCCGGTCCACATACTACCATATCTGTTACATTCAGGTAAGCCTGTCCATTTGGGTTTAGATACTAATATGGGTTCTTTGCCTGTAACAGATGTCCGGGAATCTCAACCAGACCAACTAATTGGCAGCAGGGGAGTGGCGATTGATATTGATGGAGTCCGTACTGAGAAGGGTGTTGGATTGGTAGAGAGAAATCAGAAGGAATTAGAACAGATTTGGGAGCAGATTTGTGTCCTGTTGGAGGAAAGATCCAATGGATTGGGGCAAGAATTAGGAAATACAGGGCAGAACAGGAAGTTAGTTGGAAATAAGGATAGGAAAAAGAAGAAAAAGTCTGAAGTAGAGAGACTAATAATGGACATTGAAGGGGATATCGAGTTCAGTGGCATAGGGGAAAGGAAAAAGGGTTCTAAATGAAGGAACACAATACTGGAGGGGTTTGGGCAGTGCTAGAAAGAGGAACACATTCCAATCAGTTGGAATGTAAGGGGTTTGGGCAGTGCTAGAAAGAGGAGATCGATTAAGGAGTTACTTAGGAGAGAAAGACCTGATGTTGTGATGCTGCAAGAGACAAAATTAGCTGAATTGGATAGGAGATGGGTTAGAGAGGTTTGGAAAATAAGAGGGGTAAGATGGTGCTCAGCTCCGTCATGGGGAGCTTCGGGGGGAATAGTTACGTTGCGGAGGGAGGACTTTGTAGAACCAGTAGAGGAGTTAATAGGAAACTTCACTGTATCCCTAAAATTCAGGATGGTGGAAGATCGTTTCACTTGGGTGCTAACAAATGTGTATGGTCCAACTAATTACAGAGAGAGGAATGAGTTATGGGAGGAGCTTCATGGAATTCAAGGTTTATGGGAAGGCCCTTGGTGTTTGGGAGGCGACTTTAATGCAATAAGATTCACAACTGAGTCAAATAATCCCAGACAGGTCATCACAACCAGTATGAGGAAGTTCAATGAACTAATTAATTCTTGTGAGTTGCAAGAGCTTCATTTGCTACAGGCTACCTACACCTGGTCCAATTTCCAAGAAAACCCAATTTGCTCGAAGATTGATAGGTTCCTATTTAATAAGGGTTGGGAGAGCCATTGGAGAGGTTTGGTGGCTAAGGCCCTACCTAGGATAACCTCTGATCATTGCCCTATAGAAGTAGGAAAAGAACCTTTTGGTAATGGGCCCAAACCATTCAGATTTGAGAATGTGAAATGGAATGGGGTTAGATTCCACAAAAAATTAAAAAGGTTGAGAGGCAAAATACAAGAATGGAATAAGGATCAATTTGGAAGAGTGGAGGAGGTAAAAGCTAGATTATTGATTCAGATTGAGGATTTAGATGCAAAAGAATCCAAAGGAATGATGGATGAGCAAGACAGAGAAATAAGAAGGAAACCGAAAAAGGAGTTAGAGGAGATTTCATGGAGACAAAAATCCAGACATAAGTGGATCAAGGAAGGGGATGGGAATACTAAATTTTTTCATGCTATGGCTAATAGGAGAAGAAGGAAAAATTTGATACTAAAGCTGGAGGCTGATGGTGTGGAGATAACCTCTCAAGAGGAGATTGCTAGTAGGATTGTGGATCATTTCAAATCAATCTTTCAAAGACCTTTAGAGAATCGGTTAATAGTGGGGGAGGAGAATTGGCCAACTTTGAACCAAACAGATAGGGTATGGCTAGAAAGAATGATTGAGGAAGAGGAAATTAAACAAATTGTCTTGTCTATAAATAGGGCTAAGGCACCAGGTCCAGACGAATTTACAATGGCTTTTTATTAGGATTGTTGGGACATAGTCAAAGAAGATTTAATTGGAGCCTTTAGAGAATTTGAGGACAAACATGTTGTGAGTCCTGGAATCAATGCCACCTTTCTAGCCTTAATTCTTAAAAAGACTGATGCCAAACACCCCAAAGATTTTCGGCCAATCAGCCTGGTGACAAGCATCTATAAGATTCTGGCAAAAGTGCTCTCTAGGAGGATCAAAGCAGTTCTACCTTCTCTCATTAGCCAAGCACAAGGAGCCTTTATACGAGATAGACAAATTACGAATCAGATCCTTATTGCAAATGAGAGTGTGGAAGAGATTAGGAGATCGGGTAGAAAAGGATTTGTCTGCAAACTGGACTTGGAGAAGGCCTATGATTTAGTGGATTGGAGTTTCCTGCTAGAGAGGTCAAGAAGACGTGGATTTGGGGATAAATGGTGTAATTGGATAAGAGGATGTTTAAATTCTTGTCGTTATTCTGTTTTGGTGAATGGGGTTGTTAAGGACTTCTTTCCAGCCAATAGAGGTTTAAGACAAGGTGATCCACTTTCCCCTTTCCTCTTTACTCTAGTTGCTGATGTCTTTAGTAGAATGATCTCCAAAGCAGATGAGGAGGGCCAAATAAAGGGATGGAGAATGGGGAACAGAGGCATCCCAATAACTCACCTTCAGTTTGCTGATGATATTGTTATTTTATGTGAAGGGATTGAGTTGAGCAAAGTGGAGAACCTTAAGATTTTAATAAGTACTTTTGAGAGGGTCTCCAACTTGAAGGGTAAACTTTGATAAAAGTTGTGTGGCTAGAGTAAATATGGAGAATAGGGAGATTGAATCCATTGCAGAGTGCTTAGGTTGCAACATTTCTTCTTGGCCTTTGGCATACTTAGGACTACCCTTAGGAGCTAACCCTAAAGAAAGTAGTTTATGGGCCCCTATTGTGGAGAAATTTTATAAATACTTGGCGGCTTGGAAAAAGAATTACATCTCAAAAGAGGGTAGGCTGACTTTAATTAAGGCTACACTTGCCAATCTTCCAACCTACTTCCTTTCAGTGTTCAGGATTCCTCCAAGGGAGGCTAAGAAATTGGTGAAGAGAATGAGGGACTTTTTGTGGGAACCAGGAGAGGTGAATAAGGATCATTTGGTTAGATGGGAGATAGTTAACAAACCAAAGGAAGAAGGGGGTCTAGGGATAGGGAACATAGTGCTGAAGAATGTAGCCCTTTTAGGGAAGTGGTTATGGAGATGGCCCCGAGAGAGAGAAAGACTATGGCATGAGGTGGTGGAAAGCATACATGGCTGCTCTGGAAATGGTTGGGATTCCGGGATATCTCGTCGAGCTACCCTCACAACACCTTGGAAGGTTATACATGGTATCCTCCCCCGCTTCCTCAATTTGATCAGGTATGGTGTTGGTTCTGGTAATGCCATTCTAATCTGGGAGGATATTTGGGTGGGTACTCAACCCCTCAAAGATTGTTTCCCCTCGCTCTATTCCCTCTCTTGTCACAAAAACGAGCCAATTGCAAACTTTCTCCCGAGCCCGTTAACCCCCTTGTCTTTAAACTAGGAATTCGGTTTTTGTAGAGGGTTAAGGGATGATGAGTCAAGTTGTGTTGTGGAGCTAATTCATTTGCAAGAATCTGTTTGCTTGGATCCCACTTCTTCTGATGAAAGAGCTTGGACTCCTCTTCCAAAAGGTACATTTACTTGTGCTTCCTTTCTAAAATCCCTCAGTTCTGACCCCATTTCCCAAGGTTTCCCTTTCAAAGAAGTCTGGGTGTGACCTATTCCCCCCAAAATTGCTATATTCTACTGGGAAGTCTACTATGGGAAAATCAATACTTTGGAAAACTTACAGAAAAAGAGACCCTCTCTTTGTCTTTCCCCAAATTGGTGTTCCTTGTGTAGGCCAAGAATGAGGACTGTTTCCATTTTCTGATCTCATGTTCATTTGCTACACCTTTATGGAATTGGAGCCTTTGTTTATTTGGAGGTAGGTGGTCTTTGCCTTCCGATTTAAGGCCGTTATTTAACCCGTCTTTTTTTGTTTGGCACACTAGAAGAGGCAAAGTCATGTGGAAATGTGTCAGGGCAGCCACTTTGTGGACTCATTGGGAGGAAAGGAATGGAAGAATTTTTTCAGAGAAGGAAAGAGGGTTAGATGAAGTGAAGGACCGCATCCTTATAAGAACAATCCATTGGCTGAAAACATTAGATACGTTTGATGATTTCTCCTTTGATGACTTGTGGAGGAATTGGTTAATAATAGCTAACACTTCAACAAAGAAGAATAGAATCTTGTCAGAATGGGTTCCGCCTTTGGAAGGTGTCATCAAGTTGAATTTTGATGGAATCAGCCAAGGTAATCCAGGGCCTTCAGGTATAGGGGGTGTCCTGAGAAATAAGGACAGCAACATAATCTCCTTATTCTCAGGACCGGTGGGAGTAGGGGACTCCACAAGGGCAGAAATCCTTGCTGCAGTACAAGGAATTCAGATTGCTAACCAGCTTGGGGCGGAGCATCTCCTAGTTGAAGGGGACTCTAAGATGGTAACGGGATGGCTTCTAAACCCGGATACTACCATTTGGGGCTACAAAGATCTCATAAAAAAAGTAAAGTTAACCAGCAATATGAGAGTTAAGGTAATATGGGTTAGCAGGTCTGCTAATTCTATGGCTGATTCTTTAGCCAAACAGGGGGTTTCCAGGGAAGACCTTTTTTGTGCTACTCTGTAAACTATTAGTAATCTGGAACTTGTACTTAACTAGCCCAGAGAGGTTGCAACTCGTGCCTCTACTCGGGGACTTTGTACTATTGTCTATTGCTCATTAATAAACTTATTTCAATCATAAAAAAAAAAAAACTCTGAATGCAGAGAATGTTGTTCTGAATTCTGAAAATTGTCAAATGTCCATTTTAACCCCATATATGAGAACTTTTGTTTGTGTTTTGGGGGTATCGTTAGAAAACAAAAAGAAAATGAACACCCATTTTTTTTCTCATAAAGTTTAAGATTCCTCTTAGGAGATAAGAGTTAAGAGGAAACAAACAGGCCCTAAGTTATGAATTTTCATTATCTTTTGGCCTTCTTGATTGAAAGATTAATAAATATATTGCATATTTTGTTTTTTTTCTTTTCAATAAGCAACAGTATGCATACAAATTAACAAGCAAATTATTACAAGCATTCAGGAGGCATCCTTAGCTTTTTCATTTCCTGTATCATTTTTAGGAAGAAATCACAAGCATGGAGACAAAGCTTTAAATTCAGAAATAAAGAACCAGAGTTGATAAAACAGTCTTATGAACAAAAGGAGGAAATTGATTGGATGTGTGAAAAAATATTCATGTAACAAGATTAAGCAGATGAAATTCTACTGAAATATCTTAGATTAGACAAGTGAACCAAAATTCCAGCTTAAACCACATCTTAGAAGACTCACCGCATATTTGCAAGCCCGGCACAAGGACTCCATTGTTCTCATGTCCCAAGGACGACTGTGAAAGAACCATTTCAAGTTCACGATTAGACGAGTTCAAAATTCAGGTGTATCCACATGAGAATTTTGTTTTGCAATGACAGAAATGCTTAAAGCCTTACTGATCAAAGATAGCTTTAAAAATTGGCCATAGCCTTTGAATTGCATCTCCTACAGCTTCAGGATGGTTTACATATCTAACAAGGTTTCAGTTTCAGAATCATGACAATTTATTCAATCAGTGGAGAAGTAGCATACTGATAAAAGAAATGCAATCTATACCTGAAAATGTTTGCAAGTCTATCAATGTTAACAGTAAGCTCGCGTGCAATTATTTGTTGCAATGGTCCTGGACCTTGATTAACAATTTCCTGGATTTGCACATGGAATAAATGAAGATAGAAAGGTAACATCATCTTTCTGAAAACACTAGTAACTAGTTCCTTAGAAATAACACTAACCTGCAAAGGGGTTACAACTGGCAAGCATAATGCTTCAAGGGCTTTCTTAGCATGATCTGGTGGAAGCTCTGTAATAACCATACTGAGACAGAAAGTTTTAGAACCACATTGAAAGTGCATAAACAAGGTTTTCTAACTTATTTAAAAATTGACCATGTTAACTGATTTGGAGCAACACAAATACCTAAAAGCTTCAACCAAGTGCAGCGAGTCTTCAGCAGAGACCTTATAACCACCTTCCCCACTGACTGCTCTATGGTAAATGTGGAAGAGACCATCTAATGATCCGCAAAGTTTTTTCCGGCAATCTAGCCATTAAAAGTAAACAATTACTTGACCACAAGTCTATAACAGTGATTGACACATGTAATCATGTTTGTGATGTTGGTCACTAGACTAAATGGCAAAGAGTTTCTCTAGCACATATCTTGTGTAAACAACTAAATAAAGATAGAATCCTATGAGAAAATTACTGAAAGGTTAAATGACAAAAGGATGAAAAGGAAAAAAAGCACAGGGCAAGAATAAAGTAAAAAAAAATTCAGAAGCATATGAAAAACCAACTCCATTTAATGATTGAAAAGTAAAATAATAACTTCCTTGAAGTTCCTAAAGCATTAAATAATAGATATTAATCATGCCCCCCACCCCCCACCCCAAAAAAAAACACAGTTATTACCAGCTAGCAAACCAAGGCTACAAGACCTACAGAGTAGTATCTCATCTACAGAAGGGATACCTGTCCACTACTAAAGGATGCTAAAACAGTGTATATCTGACATAAAAGAAACAAGGGTAAAATATAAAAACCTCCCCTGAATTTTCTGACAATCATATAAACCTCTCCTACATTTTAACCCTAATAAAATCCTCCCCTGTAGTTTAAAAAAAAAAAACGTACAATTACCTTCCTTCTGTTTGTTTTCCGGTAATGAAGACATTAAAGTTACCGAAATGCCCCCACCATTCTTTTCACTTTTTTCCCTCTTTCTTCATTTTTTGCTTCCTCTACCTTCATTCACGCATCCAACAAGCAGAGAATGACAGAACAATGGCACTCACAGCTCATCCTTCTTGCTTTTACTTTTTTATTCTTTTAACATCAAGGGATTACAACTCACAGTTGCAGGCGAACTCTGTGACAAATAACAAGTAATTGTTTGGCCCTATTCAATGTCCATTAGAAGGCCGAAATACAGCATAAACCATTAATCCTTGAAGCCATATTTGAATACTCTGTCACAGGCCCTATTCAGTGTGAGCAGTCACTTTAAGGATTAAATAATTTATTCATCTTCACCACTTCTTCTGTTCTACATGATCATTACCCAAAGCCCAAAGATCCATAGAACAGATAACACTAACGTATACTGAAAACTCCAAAAGCTAAATCAAATGGTCAAAGTTTCCTCACCACTCTGCTTGAACTTCCCATGCTGCCTCTTATCTCTCAACATCACTCTATGTACCTATTGGCAATGATCAATTGTTTCAATCTATTAAAACAGAAGAATATACTGTTGTTTTCTCTCTTTTAGGTCTACCAAATGCCGGCAATCAAATTATTTCAACCTATAACTCATCGGAAAATCTATACAAAAACAAATTGCAATATTCTTGTGGTCAATGGAGGGCTTTTCCTAGGGGTATAAACTTTAAATTCGAATCAAATCAGGCAATATCCAAATTCAAACCCAATTAGAAAATTCGATATCCAAATTCGAATTCGATTAAATATTCGAACGTTCAATTTGGTTCAAATTCAACCAATTAATTATTTTAGGTAATTATTTTATTTATATAAAGTATATAAATTATTTATATAATTTAATTATTATATATAAATTATATAAAACATTTAAATATTTTATATATTATATATAATAATTAAATAATCGGTCAAATTTGGATATTTATTGAATCGAATCAGGTCATATCCGAATTTGACCGATTATGATATTCGAATTATCCGAATTCAAATTCGAAATCGAAATTGGATTTTCGAATACCGTTGACACCCCTAGCTTTTCCTATGAAATTGGCTAGATTAGCTAATGAATTCATCTTCGTTTTCTTCAATTAGTCTACATAGGCAATCTAGGGATTGGAGGAGTCTTGATGGGATTTTGGAGGAAACAAAGGTGGATAGAGAGAACTTAGGCAAATAGCTTTTGCAAGCGAGATGGTGATTCAAAGACTAGTTCGAATGCGAAGAATGAAGGAAAGCCAAAATCCATCTTCAACTTCGACTTCTTTGCAGACCTCACCTTGTAGAGAGAAGCAAGGGAAAGGGGGTTGTGGAAGGGAGGGAAGTTGCAATGGAAGCTGATTATTCATGCACAAGAGGTTAGTAAAATTTGTGCTTGGAAATTTTAGTTTTAGTTTGTCTAGAGCTTCAGGAGATTCTCTGTATTTGTTTATTGAAACTTGCATGCTGATCAACAGCCTGAAGGCAAAACCAGTTCATGGCATCAAGTGGAATGTACATCGGGGTGTTTTAGTGAATGCCAAACAAAGTTGATTAAGGGTAAATTAGGAATTTAAAAGAATTAGAATATTATGTCCGCGTTTTCTTTTAAGAAAACAAATGAAAGGGAGGTAACTTACATTTTTCCAAAATTACAAGGGGAGGTTTGTAACAATAAAAACATAGGGGAAGTTTATATGATTGTCAGAAAACCTAGGGGAGGTTTTCATATTTTACCCAAGAAACAAAGGGTTCATTGCTAGGTTTGTCATTTGGTGCTCAAATATCCAACTACCAACATGTCTAGCCTGACTAATCTAAAACTAGGCCTTAAGTTAATCATCTGTACAATTTATACCATATTCCCCAATTTCCATTTACCACCTGGAAGCAATCCCTAAAAGGCTTATATGATTCATAAGGGTCATCTTCTAGATAATAATGATTAACTGAAAAGATGGCCAGATGGATTCAATGATGCTAACAAATTTGTGCATGATTTGATATCCCAAAGAAGGAAGAGGAAGCAAATTAGATGAAAATGCAAAACAAATATGTAACATCCAGATGTTCAATCAGCTCTAGGATGATTTCCAGACATCTGACTGGAATAAAAACTTTATCACTGGAAGGATCAGGACTACTTTATGATCCTTGGGTTTCAAGCAAATCATGTGGTGCACAGTGGCACTTTGAGTAGGACACTACAACTTCTAAGAGAGCAACCTTTCTTATTCTTTTCTTGTTGATTGGGCCGCTTTAAAAAATGATTAACCAGAGTGAAAAAACTGCCAAAAAAGTATTAGTGATAAGACTCCATACCATCACAGATGTGCCTGAATGCTAAAGCTGCAGCAGCTGCAGAATCTTCAGATAGGCTCATTCCACTCATGAGAATCTCTACAACTGAAGGCAGAACTGAGAGACCACTTGGTGAAGCATCAAACCATTTTGAATATGCTCCAATTGTTAAGCATACTGAAGAAGTAACCAAAACAAACATAAATAAATGAGCTAATGATGCAATCACAGCTAGAACTCAATACTGTGAAGTGCAAGGAAAACAAAATATCTATGCTCAATTCTGAACTGTGCCAACCATGCTAGAAATATCACCTGTCTGAAGCAACTGAGGTTGTTGAGGAAGTTTCGGAAGCAAAGCCATAACCTGCAGAAAATAAGCACATCTTATACAAAACAAAATTCTCATACACTTTTCATTAAGGACTAAAAACATACTTAAGCAATTGGGTAGAGAATCCAGAAAAACAGATACCACAACATAAAGATGTTGTCAGGAATCAATTTGCACACAAGAAAATTCCAGTGTAGGGCAACCGTACCTGGGGCATTACTTCAACTTCAACAATAGAAACATAATTTGCAATAGCCCGTATACAATATAGAGCAGCCTCTGCAGGGCGCCATTCACAAGGTTCATTATTTCTGCAGTTGCTTACAGCCTGGGATATTCACGTGTGTAAGGGAGATCTTCAAACCATAGTAAAAAGCTCACCAAATAAATTTACTACTATGCAGAGAAAAAGCACTGAATATATAATTCCATTAACCCCCAATAACTTTTACTAAGGTTTCCATCATTTAAACCACAAAGTGATAAATGAAGGTATAACCAGTAAGTAACATCAAAAAGTAAGAAAACGAGTTATGAATGCATTGCACAGCTCCCAAAGAGAATTGAAGAAACACATCATTCTTATAACTTTTTGTCCTGATTTAAAATTTACACCAAAATGTTTCCACTTCAATGTCAACAGAAGCAAAACTTACATGGTTAGAGATTTAGGTCAAATTTTGGTATACCCATAGAATTAAAAAAAAAAAAAAAAAAAAAAAAAAAAAACACATGAATTCAATCAAAGCTTGAAAACATGCCATCTAAAACTCTAAAAAAGAAAATAGAAATGGCATTGACCACCTATTTAGAGTAGTTTTCTTATATCTCCAACACTTAAAACAGCATTTATCCAGCCCAGGCATCAACCCAACATTCATGTTGGGTGGCAAGTTGATGAGATTGGCCCACCAGGCTGAAAGCCAAACTAGCCATGTTAACATGTTAAATATATTATCATTATGAAAACCAGTAATTGTGCAATAATAACGATAATCATAAATCATAAAACCATTCAGGACATGATAATCAACAAACGAACCTCAGAAACCAAGTTCTGGAACATGATCACAAATACTAACATAGAATCTAAAGCTGACTTGGTGCAATTCCTTGCTATTCATGAAAGAAAACTAGGAATCTAACTTTGGAAATTATATTTGTTAGAGAATAAAATCCTATTCAGGGACCTGTTATATTTGAGATGGTATCAGAGCCTGTTTTGACCAAGTGGTCAAGTGTTGGATCCTCATCGACCCTGTTATAATTAAATTAAATTTCAGCACAAGGTATGGGTGGGCCTGTGCATGTCCATACTTCAAGCCTGATGGCTCTTTGCGTGAGGGGGCATGTTAGAGAATAAAAACCAATTCAGGGACCTCATCTCATAGCTTTTTTAGGTTGAATGGTTCTTTGAGAATATTTAATGACCTTCAAGACAACCAACACTGTCATTTATATGTGCACAACCTTCCTTTTTCCCCTTTAGAAAACTGATGAAAGTTTTTTTTTCAGCAGCAAGTGAATAATTTCCTCACCTCTACAAGCTTCATGTAAAGAATTTTCAATGTCGCTTCACCGCCTAAAACTGATGCTGTATCACTTAAAACATCCGCAACAGCTAGCCATACAAAAGATTTTGTTAGTGTTACTGGGAGTACAACAGGCCAGCTGTGCCCAACAAGAAATTAATAAATAAGGAGATGGAGGCAATAACTTTCAAATCCAAGTGACAATAGCCGCCTCACGTAGAATGAGAAAGTAATAGATAAAGAAACAATAAAATCTGTAAGCATGTTAAAAAGACAGTACTAGGTTTTATCCCCCTTGCAAATGAAACATGTAAAAACAAACTCCATCTCCTGAAATTTGGCAATCAACTAATAATCACATTCACGTCTCAGACATACATACTTAGACATGTACATTCATTTTTCAAGAATTTATCAAACAAAGAACCAAAAGATACTGTTAGCGTAAGGGGTATTTCTGTCTTTATACTTATATTAAGGTTGCTGATCTGTAATATTATGTTAGAACCAGTGCTCCTTACTTAAATAAGGGCACATATGTCTTTTTCATTTATTTTAATAATAAAAGCACATGTCTGGCCGAATGGGAGTTAGGTTTTTTGACTTCCAGTTCGAACCAGACTTTCTCCTTTTCTCTCTCTTTTTCTTCCACCTTTCTACCTCTCTCTACGTGACTGATCTCAGACAAATAGAACTCCAAGGCAGGCCGAATCATAACATGGTATCAAAGCCACTCGAATCTGCCTAGATTTCTATTCTCTGTGCACCCAATCTAGGGTTTCTCTTGATTTTCCTGCATTCAACTGGAGATAAGGGAAAGGGCTGAAAAGGAGTGATCGCCCTCTCCCCTTGGAGGTTTTATGCCTCCAGTTGTGTCTTGTGTGGTCGGTTGATGTGGTTTCTAAGAAGCCCTGCCCTAATCGATGAAGAGAAGAGGACCGATCTATGTGATGCAGTGGCTGTCTTGTGTGGACTGATTTTCTGCTCGTGTGGTTGTTCCTTCAGTGATAAGGTAAGAGATTTCTATGCATGACTTCTATTATGGATCGAATAGGAAGTATGTTTCAGATCATATGCTGGGGTTTCAGACAGTAGCGTGCTAGGGTTTATGCTGTTTTTGTGTATTTCGAAAGAAGAGTTGTGATCATATAGTGGTGAGATTTCAGGTAGCCGTAGGAGTAGGGTTTGTGGTGTAAAGAGTACAATTTTCAGCAACAACAAGTGCTGAAATCAG